TTAGCCGCGGCTAGTCTGTTTACGCCTAGAAATCCCAGACTTGCTCCAAACGAACATTGGAATCATGTTAATGATTCCTAACAAAACCTTTCGACATTGAGATGTTTTGGTGCAGATAATGTCTTATTTCGAGGCTGCACCATGGGTGCCCGTCCGCACCGGTTATATGGATATACACTGACGGCGATTCGCCGATGGATCTAAATACCCCGGGCAATCTAAGTAGCACCAAAGTTGTCAGCGTGAGTAAACAAATGTACTGCATGCTAGAAATGAAGTCCAGGTTGCAATAAACGGGAGTGTCCTTTAAGCACATAAGCATGAATATACAACTACGTGTCGGACTTGGTATGCTAATTAAGTTGGGCTGTGAAGCGGCTCCCAAATTCGCTGTTTATGTTTTTGTTTATTTATTTGGCAGACAAAACTTGGATCGGAGACAACTCACGTGGGAAATTGTAATGTAGCCATGCGGCGTCTTCTTCTTCTGTTTGTCTGGGAGGCGGAGGCTGCTTTACGGCATCTGGCTGTCGTGCGTGTCGGTGTACTTGAAGAAGGCTGTGTATAATAGTCCATAATATCGATACCACAGGGATGGAATATCTCATTTAGATACCACTTTTAGTATCGATTTATATCTAGGTATCGATTTTTTTGACAACACTAATATATATATATATATATATATATATAATCAAATAAATCAAAACAACCACACTAGAATAACGTGAGGAGAGCATGTGATTTCTTGCCAAGTGAACTGGTAAACTGTCTGAGGTTGAATGACTTTTGAGCCATAGACTCTACTAAACGGTCAACCTTTTTAACAACCCTACCAACACGTGTTGTCACTACACTTGGGGCATCTGCTGTTGAAGAGCTTCACCCGTCGAACCCTGATCTATATCTACGACCACTGTACTTGTAACATCTGTTGTCTGATTCTGCTGATGGCTTTTCAACTAAACCATCACAATCTGTCGGACTAGAAGCTTCTATCTCAAACACTTAGCTGTTCATACGTTCACACTCCCCACCATGTGACCCTTTGCCAGTGCCTTCGGCTTATTTCTGACATGGCTGCTTCTCCTCTGGCTCACCAGCACTGACATCCCATGTGTCACTGTGTGTTGACACACTGGTTGTGTCTCCGGAATCCACTTCCTCCATGGAGCCGATGGTATCCACCATAAAAGGCCCAGCCTCAGACTCATCAAAGTTGCACAGTTTCATTGCTGTCCTCATCAGCAGATACAACTGGCAGAAAGCTGATGTTCAACATGAGGCTATGGTGAACTACTTTGGTGTTCCCTCCATCGTCTTCCAACTTGTATATGTGTGTTTTAGGATCTTTGTCAATGACTGTGTAGACTAGGGCTGTCGCAGTAACCGCAAGAAGAAATATCGCGATATTAAGAAACGCACCGCGCTGCATGACGTGCCACCACCATTACCGCACTTGATTAAATCTCGCGACAGCACATGCTGAGAAGGATGGCTGCACTGGTATCAAAACGAAATGTTACTTTGCCCCTTTGAGAACATTTCGGCTTTCAGCCAAATGAAAAGGGGGTGCCAGAGAATTTAAATGAGGCAATCAGTAAAATCTGCGGCAAAACGGTTCAAGTAAAACGAGGAAAGCGGCAAAGAAAAAAAACACACTTGGAGACCTGCTGAAGTCACGGACAAGCATGTCTTCTGCAACCACCCTGAAGAGAATTAGAGCCGAGCTGGAGCTCACTCGCTACCTGCAGGAGGAACCCATTGACCCTAATGAAAACCCTCTGACATGGTGGCGCAACAACCATGAGATTTCCATTGCTCTCCAAAGTCGCACGCAAGTACATGTGTATTTGCGCAACAAGCGCACCATCCGAGAGGGTTTTTAGTGTCGCTGGAAATGTTGTCACTCCTCTCAGATCCTCTCTCAAACTGCATGTTAACATGCTGGTTTTTCTTGCAAGGACAAGGACATGACCGAGTTATAAATCACAGTTATTCTTGTGTGTGAAAGTGAAATGACAGTGCCTGGGACATCTAATTTTGTATACTTTATTTTAAGCCACAAAACAAAACGGGCACTTTTTTATTTCTGTTAGATGTTGCAGCCAAATTTGCATTTCAAAGTTAAACCTCCTGAATGTTGTTTTTAAGTTCTGTCAGAGAATGTCGTTACTTCCCTTTGATCTGCATTCAATAAAGTGTTAAAAATGGCCGGAAGCCATCTTGAAAAATGTATCTCTGTATTATAGAGAAGTTAGCAGTCTTTAAAAAGTAGCAACTCGAAATTGCCGTTTCACAACAGGAATAGAACTGAACACAAAAATACAATCCCTTTTATTTGTTTATTTTTATTTTGTCCTTTCAACTGTTTGTTAAAACAGGTTTAATGTTAGCTTCTTCAAGTGAACCTCAAGTTGATGAGCCGCGACCTTCGGTGACCAAGCTGTTGTTGATCCACGATGAAATCCGGAGTTTTTAACCGAGTCAGCCGCACTGCTTCGTCCATTTAAGAAACGTTCAGCATTGTGTAAATGACGAATGACTCAGGTTCAGGTTCAACCCAACTGATGGCGTTTCTATTCTCCAGCTGCATAGAATGGGATAACACACAGTTCAGCAGCAGTGAAAATCATGTAGCCGATCTCAGCTCATCTGTCAATGATAAAAGAATCACACGAAGAGCTGCTGCGTAGCGCGGGAAAAACTGCGTCGGCTCGTTCACACGTATGCTGCGACTGTGAGGATATAACCTTGATGAAACCGTCCCATTCGCCATCAAACTGTGCAACAGTAGTTAAACATCTCATAAACATGTTAGCTAAAATGTTATACAACATCCTGTCCTTTAGTGCAACTTTAAACAGTAAATTAGCAGGAGCTCCGTGACCTCCATTACCGCTCCAAACAGACTGGAGCTGGAGGAAGTGACGTCACAGAACGAGGCTTTTCAAAATAAAAGACCCAAACAAACTTTTCTCAAAATGTCTAAAAATATACATTTAAATGAGAATCTTGAATGTTAAACATTTGTTTGGGGTAAGTAAAATAAATAATTAAATAAGTTAATTAAATAAAATTAGGGATTTTTGGTGGAACGAATTGCACATTTTCTTTCCATGCTACACTGGCAGTAAACTGGTTGGTCTACTATTAGATCCAGTGAAGCCTGCCTTTGCATCTTTGAGCAGAGGAATAGTTTTTAACTGTTTCCAGAGATCCAGAAAAGTACCACTTAAAATAGACATATTAAAAATATGGCATATCAGTTTTGAGAGCTGAATGGCAGCCATTTGATGTTTTTTCCATCAAGATTGTCTATGCCTGAAGAAGTATCTTCATACGAAGACACTGTATGTTTCACGAAGTATTTGCCTTCTCCATCCCCAGTGAGTCGTGGTAGATGGCTGCTTATACTGAGCCAGGATCCTCTGGAGGTCTCTTCCTGTTAAAAGGGAGTTTTCCTCTCCACTGTTGCTGCATGCTTGCTTAGTATGAGGATTGCTGTAAATACTCTGACACTAGTCAGTGACTCGATGCAACCTGCTGGGTTCCTTATATAGGAAACTTGTTACTGATTGGTTTAATGACCTGAACTGTACTGGAGTGTTTACTGTGTGAAGGTCCTTGAGACGACTCTGGTCCTGATTTGGCTCTTTATAAATAAACTTGAATGATAATAATGGTGGTGGTGATGTTGATGGTGATGATGATGATCATGGGGATAGTGATGATGATTATGGTGATAGTGACGATGGTGATGGTGATGATGATGATGATGATGATGACAATGAAAATGGTAATGATGACGATAGTGACAGTGATGGTGATGATGATGTTGATGGTGACGATGATGATGGTGATGGTGATGATGATAGTAAAGATGATGATGAGGATGACGGTGATTATGATGTAGATTATGATATAGACGATGATGATAATAATGGTGATGATGATGTTGGTGATGGTGAAGATGATGATTATGATTGTCATGGATTTTATCAATATGTTTATCGATAACCCATTTCCTATAGTGAAGAGAGAAGGAGACAATGAGCAGACAAGTCAAACGGTTATAACTGTGACATAATGCATGAGGCAAAATGCCCCGAACATCTGGTCACAGACTTTATTTACATAGAGATGGGAGTGGAGAGAGAGAGAAGAGATTGTGTCTGTGTGTGGGAAGTCAAGAATGTGTGTGTCTTGTGTGGGTGTGTCTGAATAAGTGAGCATGCAGAGAGGCATAGAGCAATACATTTACATTCAGTTGATTGAGTCCATGATCAAGAATTAATAAACATAAATTTGTCCATAACAATCATATAGATTATGATGTAGACGATGATGACGATGATGATAATAATGGTAATGATGATAATGATAGTAAAGATGAGGATGATGATGATTATGATATAGACTATGACGACGATAATGATAATAATGATGATGATGATAGTAAAGATGAGGATGATGATGATGATTATGATGATGAAGATGACAATAATGGTGGTGATGATGGTAGTAGTGAAGATGAGGATGATGATGATGATTATGATACAGATTATGATATAGACGATGAGGACGATGATGATAATAATGGTGGTGATGATGACGATGATTATGGTGATGATGATGGTGGTAGCGAAGATGGGAATGATGAGGATGATGATTATGATATAGACTATGACTACGATGGTGATGGTGATGATGATCTTGATGTGATGATGATGATGATTATGATGATGATGATATTGATGGTGATGATGGTGATGATGATGTTGATGATGATGATGATGATGATGATATTGATGGTGATGATGGTGATGGTGATGATGATGGTGATGATGATGAGGATGACGATGATGATTATGATACAGATTATGATATAGACAATGACGACGATGATAATAATGGTGGTGATGATGATGTGGATGATTAGGAACATAGTGGTGATGGTGATGAAATATGATGGTGATGATTGCTTTTTTGTGCATCAGGTTCATAGGGGAGGAGTCAGTCGCTGCAGGTGAGGCTTGTGAGCTGACCAACGAACCCACCTGGATCATAGACCCCATCGATGGAACCACTAACTTTGTTCACTCGTGAGTTTTTCTTAATGTTTCTTAGCTAAGCAGACATGTTCCCTTGGACCTCCACAACTGTGTGACATGTTGTTTGTTTAAAGGTTTCCGTTTGTGGCCGTTTCTATTGGATTCTCTGTAAACAAACAGGTGAGCTGACATTTCACCATACCACCTCACAAGGGGCAGACTGTTGTTTCTGCAAAAGGAGGATCTACAAATTAATTTTTTGTAATGCCCATATTTATGCACCTGCCTAATTTTGTTTAAACAATGATTGCACACTTTCTGTAAATCCTATACACTTTTTTTCCCATCTACAGCACTACTAGACACCCATCCACACAGGTTATCAGCAGTTAAACTTGATTTGGGTGTTACTCGCTTCGCTTCACTTCTCAAACATCACTGTGTATGTCTCCTATGTGATTTATTAGGGGGCAGCAGTAGCTCAACAGGTTGAGCGGGTTGTCCAGTAGTCGGAAGGTTGCAGGTTCGATCCCGGCTCCGGACAGAGAATTCTGCTGTTGTCTTGGGCAAGACACTTAACCCACCTTGCCTGCTGGTGGTGGTCGAAGGGACCGGTGGCGCCTGTGCTCGGCAGCCTCACCTCTGTCAGTGCGCCCCAGGGCAGCTGTGGCTACATTGTAGTTCGCACCATCAGTGTGTGAATGTGTGTGTGAATGGGTGAATGATACACTGTAGTGTAAAGCGCTTTGGAGTCCTTACTCTGAGAGGCGCTATACAAGTGCGGGTCATTTATTATTGTAACAACCAACAATTTATTCAGGAAAATCATGAAGATTAACAAGCCTGCCCAGACTTTCACACACACACACACACACACACACACACACACACACACACACACACACACACACACACACACACACACACACACACACACACACACACACACACACACACACACACACACTGTAGTGTACATACATAAAAACATACACACTGTAGTTCAGCATGTGTTGTGAGGGCCGTCATTGACTTCCATTCGTTCTAGTGACTGGATTGTGTCTAACCCGATCCCGTGACCAGTCCACTCCTAACTCTAACCTTACGTAAACCTTAACCCACACCAAACCTCCGTGAGCTTTTTGACATATTTACCAAAGTGAAGACCAGCAAAATATCCGCAGTTTGCAGGTACACAAATTTTGTTGTTTTCACTTTGATGTATCGACCGGTACACACACACACACACACACACACACACACACACACACACACACACACACACACTTGCTCAAGGGAGGCTTTCGTTTATGTTACCATAGTGACATCATTTGCGTAAAAGATGCCAACTTTCAGAGCTTGTGATAACGATACATGCTCACGGAGAAAAGTTATGTCTTCATGTAAGATTGTTGCATGCTCTCTTCTAATTCAAAAAGTGCTTTATTCAAATGGGCAACAAACAAGGGCATAGTTCTAGTTCCTGGGAACTTAATACCTTCAATGTGTCCATGAATAGGTGGAGGTGGGAGTGGTCTACAGCTGTCTAGAAGACAAGATGTTCACGGCGAGGCGGGGGAGAGGAGCATTCTGTAACGGAGAGCCACTGCAGGTTTCTGAGCAGACAGGTCAGTGGTGGATCTACAGGTTACCAATACTCTACTGGATGTAGCCTGAGATGGAATTTGTGATGTAGTTAATGATGTCATTGATCTTCTTTATGCTGTTGATGTCATCAGATGTCCATCAGTCGATTATCGCCACAGAGTTTGGGTCAAACAGAGACCCGGAAGTTGTTGACAAAATATTCTGCAGCATGAAGAATGTCCTGAAACTGCCAGTGCATGGGTATCACATCAGAACCACATGATTAACTGGTTTTTTCTGACCCTGTGGAAATTTAACAGCATGTCTTCAGTGTGCGCAGTGCCGGGACGGCAGCCATCAACATGTGTCTGGTGGCTTCTGGCTGTGTGGAGGCCTACTACGAGATAGGGATGCACGTGTGGGATATTGCTGCCGGGTCTTTGATCGTGTCTGAGGCCGGAGGACTTGTGTTGGACGTGGATGGTGAGAACGCTCTGACAGCACCTACTCTAACCTCTCACTTGGTCCTAAATAATGTTTCTGTGTTCAGGAGGACAAGTAGACCTGATGTCCAGGAGAGTGCTTGCTGCCAACAACAGAAGCATTGCAGAGAAAATAGTGAAGGAGATTGTCCTCTTCAGACCCCCCAGGGACGATGCTCTAGATCACAAACAATAATCAATAAAGTTCAATTTTATTTAAAAGGTGCTTTTTCCTTCCCTCACTTGACCGATTCAAGTGTGAAAACAGGTGACGACCATACTGCTGAATCCCTTCCACACCTGGGGGGTGTTGGTTCCAGACTGAACTGGTTGAGTGGGATTTGTTACATTTCACATATCTGGCTGTAAACACCTAGTCTGTCCTCTGTCTATTCTACACAGAGGACGAGTCTGGATACCAGAGCCAGACAGCACCATGAGGGACGGGGCTAGCCAGCTCAAAAATAACCAATCAGAAAAAAGGAGAAAATTGTTGTTGTTTTAAAGACGTGTCCGAGTCGTTTAGAATGAAGGAAAGAGCCACAGCAAACTCCGCTTCCGACGCCATTGTAGCGATACATATAGATTTATATCTATATTTCAAATGTGGTGTAGATTTAGCTTGTTTTTGATCTTATATTAAATAATTGGGGCACCACCCAGTTTTGTCTGTGTGAACTGGGACACTGGATTTAATATTTATATCTTCTCAAAGTTAACACCACATTTTAATCTGAAAGCTGAGTTCTTGTCAGAATGCGCTGGCTATTCTCGAGATCGCTAGGCAATAATCAGGCATGATTTAAGTTTTGTGAATTTATTACAAACATCATTTGTGACACTTGACAAAGAGAACCAAACACAGCTTATTGTTTCATGCATGAGAATAAGTGGATAAACACAAGGCTTTATGGCAGTGCTATGACATAACTAGTCTGTAATAAAAGTGGAACTTTGGTGACACATAGGATTATAGTAAATATTAGGAACAACTTCTGTAAGGAGAACAAGTTAGTGTGTGTGTGTGTGTGTGTGTGTGTGTGTGTGTGTGTGTGTGTGTGTGTGTGTGTGTGTGTGTGTGTGTGTGTGTGTGTGTGTGTGTGCGTTATGGGTATAGGAATACAGGAGTGTGTGTGTGTGTGTGAATGCGGTCAGGGGGCTCGTTATGGCAGAAGAAAGGGGATCTTGAAGGCTAATATGAATCTGGGATCAAAATAAAAACACACCATAAAGAAATGGACTACTCTGAATCCACTAATCGGGCTTAGCACAGAAGTCAGCCAGATGAGATGTTTCAAAGACCTTTTTCCGTCGCCAAAAGAGGTGTCCTATGGGCTGATTCAGCCGGTCCAGAAGCTTGAATGCGGCCTTCAGGGGCCCTAGGACTTTTTGGCACCTCAGCTTAGGTCAACGGTGTCTGTGGTTCAGGAGAATCTCATTCCCCGAGTGTGGCTGGACTTTAGGTTCCTTCACTTCAGCGGCCTCGAAACGTGGAATTCAGATCGCGGGCCCAAATTATTCCAAACGGAGCCGAATCATCAAACTGTTCCAAATTGCTCTAACTCTTAATATGAAAACTTGACGAAAACGCAGACTTCCGGTTTCATGTAGGAAGTCAAAACAAAACAACGGATTTGCTTCTAAGTTTTTACTGTAACTTTTGAGAGCTAATTACTTTAAAGCACCGGGTTCTGCTAGGCCAGATGGAAAACAGCCAGCAGGGAATGAGCTTAAGGCATCCTTTGTTCTAAACTGCCGCCACGAGGTTCGGATGGGTGCTTATGTAACCTTTTGGGCACGCCCACCTGTATCCTACTCAAAAACCACTGGAGGGCACTGTGGCTCTTCCAAATAAACTCTACCTTCTCCAAGATGGAAAGTCCATGATCACAATTTAACACAGTTATTCATATAAAGCCTCAAAAAGTATTACTTTAGCATCAAAGTATTAATTTAAATGGGAAAGAATAAAATTCATGTCTTAAAACTGAACAGTTTTACCACTAGCATGAATTTTAACTGGAGAAACACCAAATGACAGGGGTTTAACATAAAAGAAAACACAAAACAAACAGTTTAGGTCTGTGGCTGATAAGATTTTAACTTAGAGCATCTTGATTTCTGTTTTAAGGTTGAACAACCTAAACACCTTCTTTGATTATAGATAAACAGAAAAATACCAGGGTTTTGATAAAAGCGAGATCCTGGAATCTTCCAGTCCCTTGAGAAGTCTTACGAGCACCCGGCCTTGGGGGAAGAGTCAGTTATTGGCAAGTTGAGGTAAGACAGACCAAGTCCTGATAATGTCCGGCTTAACAAGTTACTTGGTAAAATTTACGTTCCTGGGAGAAAAATGTAGGAGTTAACCAGAATGCTCAAACTGCGGGCCAGTTTCAAATTCCCCTTTTTATTTTCTTCTACTAAATGTGAGAGGAAAACTTTGTGAAAATAGTTATGTTCTCCTTCGTGCTGAGGATATAAAATGTAGGTTTCCGCTACACCATCTTCGTTGTTTATGAGAAACTGAGCATTGCAGTGGGTGACATAAGCTGCTCAGCGCTGATTGGCTCGGTAAGTATTCTCAGGGGGCGGGGTTATTTGAATGGGAGTGTTACCAGGCCCTTTGCTTCCCATAAGGAAGCATTGGCATGGCTGACCAGTACACCAGTTTTCTCCCGACTTTAATGGTATAGTCACATTGTGCTACATAGCATAGCTTAGCCTCTGTCTCCAGTCCACTCACGGCTGTTGGAGCAGTATGTTTATGTTTTGTTTTAAACAACACTAGGAAGAAGAAGAAGAAGAAAACATCATTTCTATGGCGCCTCTCAAGATAAAAATCACGAGGCGCTTCACAAAAACAAATGTAAAAATATAAAAAAAGAATTTAGAAAATGGTTAAAAATATATATTTAAAATGAGCAAAAAATATACTATTGTGATTAAAAAACGTTAAGAAAGAGAGAGAGTGAATAGGAAAGACGGAAATCAGTGGATCCTGAGGAAGGTGGAATAGGTGCGGAGAGCAGAATAAAGAAAAAATATGTGAAGCAGGTCATACAAAAGCCACTTTGAACAAGTGAGTTTTCAGCTGCTTTTTAAATGAGACCACTGAGTCCACTGATCTCAGGCTCAGGGGGAGAGAGTTCCAGAGTCTGGGGGCTACAGCAGCAAATGATCTGTCACCTTTGGTCTTTAGCCTGGTGCGTAGCACAACCAGTAGGCTTTGATCACTGGACCTCAGGGACCTGCTGGGTGTGTAGGGACTAAGATGATCACCAATGTAAGATGGTGCTTGTCCATGTAAGGCCCTATAGACCAGAACCAGGATCTTGAAATGAACCCTGAAGTTGACTGGCAGCCAGTGAAGCTGGAGGAGAAGCGGGGTGATGTGGGTGTGTTTGGAGGACTTGGTCAGAAGCCGAGCACAGGCATTCTGAACCACCTGTAGACGGTTCAGGGAGGTTCTGCTCAGACACGTGAAAAGAGAGTTACAGTAGTCTAAGCATGAGGAGATGAAGGTGTGGAGAACTGTCTCAAGTTCAGAGCGGGACAGAATGGGACTCAGCAATGTTCCTGAGATGGAAGAAGGAAGAGTGAACAAGAGAACTGACATGAGAATCCAGGGTGAGAGCTGGGTCAAAGGTCACGCCAAGATTCCTGACAGAAGGTTTGGTGTGAGAAGCAAGCTGACCAAGAGAGTCTCTGACTTTGGGAACCAGCTTGTCTGGGGCACAGATGAGGATCTCAGTCTTATCTTCATTCAGCTGAAGAAAGCTCCCAGCCATCCAGGTTTTGATAGAGTCTAAGCAGGTGTGTAACAGCTGCAGCTTAGACATCTCATGGGGCTTAAAGGAGATGTACAGTTGGATGCCATCTGCATAAAGATGGTAGGAGATTCCTTTGAAGGAGCTCAGGATGTGCTGAAGAGGAAGCAGATAGATAATAATAATAATAATACATTTTATTTCAAGCGCCTTTCAAAGCTCTCAAGGTCACTGTACAGGACAAAATATAACAAGCAAGCAATACAAACAACAAGAAATAAATGCTAAAAGTAGAGAATTAAAAATAAATTCCCAAGGGTAGAGTCAGAGCAGTGCGATGGATAATAGACTAAAAAGAGTAGATGGCAGGAGGACAGTTACAGTGAGTAAGCCAGGCGGAACATGTGAGTTTTGAGTTGAGACTTGAAGGTTGAGAAGGAGTTTATATTGTGGAGGTCAGGCGGTAGAGTGTTCCAGAGTTTTGGAGCTGAGTGGCTGAAAGCTCTGGCTCCCATAGTTCAGAGACGAGTGCGAGGAACAGACGGGGAAGGTGAAGATGATGATCGGAGAGAGCGAGTGGGAGTGACAATGTGGAGGAGATTAGAAAGATATGGGGGAGCGAGATTATGGATGGCTTTAAAGGCATGAAGAAGTATGTTGTAGTCAATTCTGTATTTGACAGGGAGCCAGTGAAGTTTTTGCAGGACAGGGGTAATGTGATCAAAAGTGGAGGTCTTAGTGATTATCTGGGCAGCTGAATTTTGGACTAACTGTAACTTGTTGAGTGATTTTAGAGGGAGACCGGAGAGGAAGGCTTTACAGTAATCGATGCGACTGGTGACCAGGCTGTGGACCAAAATAGCAGTGGAGTGCTGACTGAGGGAGGGGCGGAGCCGATTGATATTGCAAAGATGAAAATAAGCAGTTTTTATTGTGTTGTTAATATGAGGAATGAAAGATAAGGTGTTGTCTAAGATGACACCCAAGCTCTTAGCTTTGGCGGTGGGGAGAAGTGTGGTGTTGTTGAAACTGAGTGAGAATGAACTGGTCTTGGATAGAGATGACTTGGTGCCAGTGAGGAGGATCTCAGTCTTATTACTGTTGAGCTGTAGAAAGTTAGAAGAAAACCAGGAGTTTTTGAAATGCCGATGGTGGATAGTCTATGGAGTAGAACTGTGTGTGAGATGGTGTCAAATGCTGCACTGAGATCGAGTAGGATGAGAATGGAAATCTGGCCTGAGTCTGCTGCAAGAAGGAGGTTGTTTGTGATTTTGATCAAAGCCGTTTCTGTGCTGTGGTGGGGGCGGAAACCAGACTGGAAGACTTCATAGAGGGAGTTGCTGGATAGATGAGAGTGTAGTTGGTTAGCAACAACTTTTTCAAGTATCTTAGAGATAAATGGTAAGTTGGAGATGGGGCGAAGGTTATTAAAATTGTTTGGGTCTTGCTTTTTGA